TATATATATATATAAATAATACACACAGTATGTTGTTAATGTTTTAAACTGAATTAACTCATTGCCATTGCTTCAGTAGGTTCAGTTCAGTAAAGGAGTCTAAAACCTAGTACCACTGAGGTCAGGGGCTTCACAGTGACCTGTGTCTGAGGAGTAGACTGTCCTCTGTCCTCTGTGGAGTGGGGTTTCTAATGTTGTCTTTTCAATTCTTTCAGGTGAAGCAGGAGTGTGGAGAGAACGTTCCCTACCTGTCAGACAATGAGCTCATGTCCCTCTCGGTCCGGGAGTTGAACCTCCACCTCCGTGGCATGGCCCGTGAGGACATCCAGAAGCTAAAACAGCGGCGCCGCACGTTGAAGAACCGAGGCTACGCCGCCAGCTGTCGGGTCAAACGCGTCTCCCAGCGCGAGGCCCTGGAGCAGCAGAAACTGGAGCTCCAACGGGAGGTGGAGAGACTCGGCGCCGAGAACGCCGGCATGAGGAAGGAGCTGGAGGGTCTCGGAGCACGTTTGGCCGCTCTGCAGAGATTCGCCAGGGGGCTGGAAGCCGGGGGCGGCAATCTGCTGGCCACGGCCCCACGCCTTAACACAGCCTCGGTCATCACCATCGTCAAGAGTCCACATCAGCCTCAGCCACAGAGAGAACACGAGCCGTCGTAGGAGGAGCTACTGGAGCCAGACTTGGGGAAGGGGGGGGGGGGGCACAACCTACAATGCAAACACACACATTCTTACACTCACACACCAATACACACACATGCAGTTATAGATGTACTAAGAACACACAGATGCTGGAGAACAAGTCGTATATACAGTAGGTAAATGAGTAGGAACGTACTCGCTTGTTAGCATCACACCTCGTTCACGTTGTTATATGCAAGTGTCATTTGAACCTGTGTTTGACAGAGCAGTGTCTAACGTCACCAAAAACGACAACAGCTACGCTTAGCTTCTAAACAACAGCTGAAACTAAATGGTTATCTAGGACAAGTGGAGGCGTCCTCCACTGTGGAACTATTTTATAAACACTGCAGCTTCGCTGAGGCCGATCACGCTCAAGTGTGTTTGTTTTTAAGATGCATAAGAGTCATATATTTAAAACAATGTGTCAGGTGTAATGTGAACGAGGCATTGAACACTGAGACACATACACACACACACCCCCCCTGGCTGTCACTTTTTACTTTTGAACTTTTTCAAATTTCTCTTCGACAACAGAACTAAAAGATGGTTGAAACCATTGAGAGTTGCACAGGACCAGCACTCAATAAAAGAAGACAAAATGTCACCACGCATCTAGTTCCAAGCTTGAATTTTGGTGAAAGTGACAGCTATAACACGCACACACACACACACACACACACACACGCGCACAATTCTCCCCAACCACCCACCCACCCCCACTTCCCCCTGACCCTCACAGGGTTGCACACAGCGACTAACTGGACTCTGACTCTGAAGCCCAGACCAATAATCCAGAATGACTGTACTCTTCAGCCAGGGTAACCTGTGATTGTGCTGGCAAGAAACCAGGACGAATCCTCTGCCTCAGTTTGAGACTAGTGACTGACAGCCAAACGCTGTGGCCGCCGCCACCGCCGCCGTCAGAATCTGCACCGTACGTGCAGCTAAAGTATATGGGCCACTCCTTCAAACCCGTCCAGGATCATGTGTTTTCTGTCAGGCTCACAGTTTTGAATCACTTCTGACATGAATGCAGAGTTTCTCAACCTTGGTGTCACTTGATATCCAAGGACAAAGGCCACGGGAGATTCCCCACGACTGGAACAAAAGACGAACCACACTCACATTCACCTGACAGCTCTGGAAACCAGTGCTTCTCAAATGGTCAATCCTAAGAAGGCCAGGTGTTTTGGTCACGACCCAGTTTTTTCCTAAAGGTCCAGGTGATATTTTCTATTTGGTTTTTTCAGTTGTAAGTCACTGTTGTATTTGGTTAGTTATTTCTCCACCCATTACTGACACACCCTGCTGGTAAATTCTTGGTCTGACAATGAGAGGCCAAAACTGTCATCATGTCACACAACCCACTTTTGGGTCATGACCCACCATTTGGGAGGCACTGCTTTTGACGATAGGATCATAAGGATGTTAGTTAACACACACACACACACACACACACACACCCCGGGGAAAAAGGCTGAAAAACTCTGCATTTGTTTGTTCACGTTTGTTTCCAGACAAAGTTTTGATTTGTGACAGCTTCTGCTCATCGTCATATTCTACAGAGTAAAACTCGACTGCTTGTGTACCCGTTACTCACATTACTGCAGTGCCTTTAGTGTATGTCAGCGTCAGTAGACTGGACACTTAATTCTCTTCTCAATTCTCTCACATTTCCTCAGCTGCGTTCACTTGTCTCGTCCCGTGACCTTTAACCTTTGCTGCAGTTTCTCCTGAAAAATCTTAACAACAGACGTTTGGTGACTTTGACAGAAACACGTCCCAGCGGAGTCTCGTCCTGTCGCTGTCCAAACAAGAGAAGGAAAAAAAAAAAAGTCAAATGATGCAAAACTTCTGCAAACATTCCCCCTCATCTTTTACTGGTGTGTTTGTTCTTTGTAACGTTTGTACCTGTACGTTGAGAGACGAAAATGTTAGGTGACATTTATCAAGAGATACATATATATATATATATATACATAAATATATATATATTCTATATTTTATTTGTATTTAAAAAAGGTAGATAAGAAAAAGACAAGCTAACGAGTGCTGTGATTGTTCCTGTCCGTTTTATTTTTTTTTCCCAGAAGTACTTAACTTACGACTAGTCTGAGGATATTCTCACGTCCGATAATTGTGTTGTGATTTTGTTTGGCAAAAATGTTCATTATTATTGTTATTGTTATTATTATTATTATTATTAGCTGCGTAGAAATATGCTCTAAGCCAATGGTCATTTTGCTGTACGATGATGATTTGTGTGTAAGTTGTTAGTGGATCCTTGGAGGGATTTTTTTCATCTGTTTAATTATTATATTTTTTGAAAAGAGGAAAACACAAGTGAAATAGAGATGGAGAGTGGAGGAGGATTGGCGAAGGATCGGAGGAGGAGGAGGAGGAGAGGGAGGAGAGGAGTGGGTACGATGGAAACAGGAAGTTGTCGGTAAAGGAACAGGGAAGGAAAGTGGAGGGGAATTAATCACTTGAAAAACCTCCATAGATGAGTTTTGAAGCTGCAGTAACATAGCCATATTATTTCTGAAGCAGGCATCGTATCACAATAATAGACTGTCCACGACAAACAAGTCCTTCAAAGACGCCAGGCTTACATTTTAGCTCAGTGAGTATTAGTGTGGCGACGCATTTATCCTCAAATACTTTTAACGTCTCGCGTTTGTCTTGGATGTTTGTGCTGGATGTTTTGTAACCAGTTGCAAAACGGAGAAAAAAAATGGTCTTTGTATTTATTATTATTATTGTTATTATTATTACCTGTATTTTTTCTATTGTGAAAAATTTAAGTACATCGTCTATTTTAAATATTAATTCTAATAAATGTTGTACATATTGTACATAAAATGGTGTGTGGTTGATTAACGGTTACATGCACACACTCGGAGTACACACTTGTCATGGACCCCACAGAGGAAGTACTGCGTTTGTGCAAGTCATTGTTCCTGTTTTACAAGTGCATACAGTACAGTAAAAATGTGTTCTTCATTTACTAAAAACATTAAATCCATAATTCAAGCTCCATGTAATACCTAATTATTGAAGATGATCAGCTGAAAATATTCAATATTTTCAAGTGAATATTCAATGAAAATATTAAGCTGGAAATATTCACATTCAGCAATGTTATCACATACCACAACATTCAGCTAACTTTAAGCAACATCTGGGCTTTTAGTTATCTATATATTGTAGTTCATTTTTTATTATTTATTGCATATCCCCAGCAGTTAGACATCTATCTTAGATTTAATTATTTATTAATTAAGTATTATTTTACTAACTTTATATTAAAGCTACTTTTTTATTTTTAAATGCTAACTTCTACCAACTACTCACATGTGCCTTGTATTTGAATGTTTATCCAAAAGTTATCCTATTAACTCGTAGGAAAATAAGTTATTCTCAGACTACTTTTTAAATTTTCTTTTCTGGCTAACCTTTGGCCTTTTAACCTTTTACATATACCTAGCATTGCCATCCTAAAATATTTTTATATGTGTCATAAAATCTGGTGATATATTTAACATATGTTGCCCTGTTTGACTTGTTCTTGTGTGAGAGAAAGGTACCGGACGTTACAAGGTCATGATTGGACTCCTAGCAGTGGACGACCCCAAGGTCATTGTTATCTGGTGTGATGGGGGGAGACTCCTCTCACCCAAGGTTGAGGCCACTCAGCTACAGGAAACAGCTGGGAGGAGCCCCACCTGTTTTTGATATATTCTGGCTAACTTTTAGCCAAAACTATCTAATTATCTTCAGCCTTAACTTAATTAATAAGAAATTATGACTACTTTGTTCCTAGAATTTTGCCATAATTTTTGTCTTACACGTATCTTGTTAACACATAGGCTAATTTAGTTTCAGGATGCAATTTAACTTTTGGAAAAAAAGGGTAAGGGCAATTTAACTTTTGGAAAAAAAGGGTAAAATGTCACCACATTTATCTGTAATACATATCCTATAATAGACTAAATATTTTTTAAGCTTTATGTATTTATTTAAACTTACTAACTTCAGTTATCTTTAGGCTACATCTAGGGATTTAGTTACCACTGGGGACCAAAACACTTTAACACCTGTGGGCCAACGTGATGTGTTTGTTTTTGAACCCATGTCAGAACAAGCAGGAACAGGCTGTAAATGAACATTCTCCCAGTCAGTCCCTTTCTGCCCAATGACTTTGTCACTGACCTATAGCCGAGGCCTTCACTTGTTCTGATGTCCAGCAGGTCAGGCACTTCTTTCTTCCAGTTGTGGAGCATGGCTCAAACAAAAAAAAAAACATTTGTGTTCAGAATCAGTTCTTGAAACCCCTTAAACTCAGCACAAGGTGCTGCCATTTTAGAACCTTCCTCTCTGACAAGTGAGGTGAAGGGTCAACAAACCTGGCAGTAATCACTGCTTGTGGGTGTGGCTTAGTGAAACCAATCAAGTGATTAATAGCATGTGTGTTCATTGTGACCTTAGGGAAGTCCACCTAAGAACTTCAGTGACATTAGAAATTTTTTTGGGAGGGGAGGGGGGGGTTGATTAGACAAACTTTTGATAATATTCTTGCCATAATAATTCTTATTTTTTATTATTGTAACATATATATATATGTCTTCAGTCTGTTACGCTGCAGACTGCACTAATTTGTTTACAATAACAGAGGCAAGCATGAGTTTAATCACATGCATGTGTTCAATCACGTGCATGTGTATACATGTGATTAAACACATGACCGAAATGATAAAGAGGAAGGAAAGGAACTGTGAAAAGTTGCCTGTGGTTCTGAAAGTGCTGTCGCACAATTTCAGTATAAAAACAAAAGAGAAATAATTATAATCGACTGACTTCTGATAACAAACGACAAAAGAAAATACACATCAAACGTTAAAATAAAACGGGTCTGACACCGGGCTTCCTGATGTATATTAGCAAAAGTTTAGCCTTTTGCCACGCTTACTTGTCAAAATAAAAGGCTGCAATGTTTCATCTTTAAAAAGCGGAAAGGAACGCAGAGGGAACTCAAATCCTTCAAAATAAAAGTATTACATTTACTATCCTATTTTGAACTTCACTTTTACACCGTTTATCCGTCAAACCCTATCTTTGTGCGTGTGGATTTTACATTTTATTACTTTATGCTGGTTTTAATATCGGTCGTATTATTTTTGGTGTTTATTCAACTGCTTTTAGAAATTATTTCCAAATATTTACGAAGATAATGCAAATAAAATAACATCGAGGACAGTATTTGAATCAAACTAAGCACCTGCTTTATTCTCTCTCTCCTGAAATCACCTTTATTTCAGTTGCCATCTTGTTGTGTGTTCTTGTTTGCCCTGCACAGCCCACTGGTGGACACACACGGAAGTGCAGCGATGCAGTGAAAGTGTAAATCCATAATCAAACTCTGGTGTGACTCATTCAAAAAAACAAAAAACAAAACAAAAAAACAACAACTCTGATAAGACATCTCACTGACCTAACAATATCAAGACCTTTAAAGATACATTAAAGCATCCAAGTGATATAATAATGTTCAAAAAGACGTATGTTAATGCCTGACATTGAGGGAATACAACAAGTATGAATATGGAAACAAAATTGATAAAACACAAATTAAATTCAGCTTTAAATATATTTATCTCAATATAAAATGACTGTGGATATAAAATAACTGATGAAGTTAAGATATTGACTAGCCATTTCTTCTCTTATTGTGGATGACCCCAGCACAGTCCTGCAGCAAACATCTTTAGTTAGCTCCGACCTATATTCCTCTCATGTTTTTCTCTCCTCCTCAATCCTGTTAACCTAGATTGGTGCTCACACAGCTCCTCTGTCTGGGATTAAATCCCAGTCCTTCAAATAACTCCGCCCCATTTAATCCAGACTAACTCTGCTGCTGTTGCCTGCATTCTGATATGGAAAATAGGACTTATTTGCTCTGCCTTAAATATAAAAAAATCTTAAGGAATTTTAAGGAAATATTTTCTTATATACTTTATTTTAAATCAGAAAAAGTCTGACTTTTTGGAGATTTTTACAAGACTAAAAAGTAAACATGACAGACAGAAAAAAACAGCTCCTACAAAAACACACCTTTAACTTTCCACTAAATGATTGAGTTCCTCGCAAAAATATGTTTAACATAAGGAAACACAATCAAGCCACGATGTAAAGGTAACCTTCCTTTTTTTAAACTGTGACCTTTGTTTCTGGCCTTAGAGTCTAAAACATAAAAATCAGCTCAGTAAATAAAAGCTTAAGTACAAGACATCTGTACACAATGAAGACCAAAAAAATAAAAAACATAAATGAAACAAACACAAGTGTGGAGTTCAGCTGTTTTGAGGACTGTCCACCGTTAGAACGTCAGTCTGTTAAAACTCGTCATCAGAGCTGAGCAGGAGCGTCTTCTCTGTGTCTCCTTTGCCGCTGATGACGCTCAGGGTCCGGCAGACAGGCGGTGGGACGCCCTGCTCTGTGGACTGCTGTGTGTACTGCTGGTAGGCCGGCGAGAAGTTGTGGATGGCGTCTTGGACCATGTCGTTGGGGTTCATGGTTTCTTTTAGGCTGCTGGAGATGCTCTTCATTGGGGCACGGCGACCTGGAAACAAGAAGAAAGAGGAAGTGAGTGAGTGTGAACAAGGAGAAAAGAATGGATGGAGTCAAAGGAAGAAAAGGAGGAGTAAATTAAAAAGAAAAGATCGAGAGAAAAAAAAAAACAACAAACACTGTCAGGGAAACCAGAATATTATATAGAGTTATATACTATCTACCATATCCAAAATGTTATCACCCCCCTGCAGTCCCTCCATATCGACATCCTCTACTCTGGACTATCACCTCAAATTCCAGATTTGCTGTTTCAGTTACACAACAGTTCTGAGACTCCTGTATCACAGGTACACGGTCTGCCCTTTTATTTCATCATTTTATTTTCCTCCTCACTGAACTAAGAGTCCTCACACAACTGCAAGGTTTAAAAAAAATGTTTGAAATTGTTCTTTAGGTTCCACTTAATTTACAGTGAACCCAAAGGAGAACGTATAAAATGTAGAAATGAGGAGAGAACACAAAAACAATACAGTGATTCAGAGGATGAAGAAAAGACAGTGATGTAAAGGAGAGACAACAAAGACAAAGGAGGAAGGTAAATGAAATGGTAAAGTGATTTGAACAGTGTCCAACAAGGAAACTAAGGAAGGAAATATGTGAAGGAGGAGTTAGAGGAGAGAAGGAAATAAAGGAGGGTGCAGGAGGAAATTTAAAGATGGGAGAGGAGAGGAAGGAAACAACAAATACTTTTCAGGACAAAAAAAGAGACACAGGTCAAATGAACCAAAGTCAATTTGCTGAGTCAGCTGATATCATATTATATAGGTAAAAACAGCAGGATGGAACTAAACTAGGATTAATGAGGAACCTTCATCAGAGATGAACCTACCAAAGTCCCCATATGAAAGAGCAGGTCCTTAATGGAGCAGCAGGGAGAGAGAGAGAGAGAACAGGGGTGAGAAGTTGAATGTCTGTGTGTTCCACTTCCAATATGAAAATGGAGTGAAACCAGGATAAGGTCCTATTAAAGGTCATATCAAATGAATTAATATATTAAATATGAGCCAGTTCTTTTTAGTTTTTCAACAATGTATGCCTTAATTGGTTTATTCTATTTCTGTCTACTTTGATATTATCCTTTAAAGACTTATTTCCTTGATGCCGGGCTTCAAGTTAGTTAACATTTCAGCAGTAGCAGCTAAAAGAGAGGAAGGAGTGAAAACTTTAACCCTACTATTTAAGGATATAACATTCAAACTCTGTGTCCACTCACCTTGAGAGTCCAGACTTTTGTCCATGTAGACTCTGTAGGTGAAAGCGTGTCTCAGAGCTACTGCTGCAAAAAACATCTCGATGCAGATGATAAAGTTCTGATAGCCAGCAGCAACAGTCCCCTCGCCAACAGACACCTCCACCGAGTTGATCTGAGGGATGGCTCCACACTTCTCCAGGATAGCCAGTAACATACCTGCACAGAAAACACAGTAAGAGTTCTCCATGAAGACAAGAGGAACTGCATGGCAGTTTGTTCTGGTTCTATGTGGTTGAGGACGGCTCTCTCACCCTGCCAGAAGGAGAGGAAGATGACGGACTTGACCATGAAGAACTTGAGGATGGGGCTGTAGGGACTGAGCAGCTCCCTCGTGGCAAAGTAGAAGAGGAAGAGGGCGTAGAGGGACAAGCTGACGGAGATGTTGTAGATGATGGTGATGTACAAGTAACCACTGGCAACACTGTGGGAGAAGGAGTTTCACAGGGCAGACAGTTACTGTGTTGTAGTTTCTTTTAGTAAACACATGTGTTGCCTGTGATTTGACCTTTGACCTGCCACAAAGTTTGGAGAATCAGGAAACAATGAAGTATGAAGACAAAAATATATATATATATATACGTATATATAAAAAACAGCCTGTATGCGTTATGTTGGTCTGCTACATGCTAATCTCTATAGTTACTGCTGAGTAATCGCAGCGGTCATCAATATATCAATGACAATTAATCATTTTAAGCATTTATTATGCACTAACTCATGTGTATCATTCTGAACACACCACAAGGCATCACGGGAAAGTCGATATACTGCTGCTGTTATTTTGTAGAATATTCTGGAACATTTTTGTTTGATTTTTTCCTTTTACCACAAACAGACATTTGAATAAAGAAAACATTTTTAAACCTTAATGTTTGGGAGGGGATTAAAAAACTTGACAGATATAATTCTTAACGAACATTTAGACCAGATAAAACAATATATTTCTAATTTCTAATCATGTGGACCAGACTGGACTGACTGTGGATAAATATTTGAATTCATTGAAGGAGGAAAATTCCAGGGTCTGGACGACGTGGCTCTCTCCTGCAGCACTTACTTGAAGTCTCCATCCTTGTACTTGCCGTAGGCCTGCAGCACCACAGTGATGGCAGCCATGAGCGGTTTGATCACACAGAACTGCAGTGTGGCCTGTTTGCAGAAGCGCAGGAAGCCAATGGAGTAGGCCTTTCCCTGGAGGCAGCAGGTGCCATACATACAGCTGGACCTGAGGATCAAGGAAGTGAAGACAGGTTTTTATGGACATCAACAGGAAAAAAACTCATTCAGGAGCAGAAACAAGGCCAAAAACACATGTTGTATTACTACTGTAGTTGAACTATTAATAGTTAATTATCTGAAGACTTACTCAATGGGTTTTCCTCTGATTTCAGCCATGATGGCACTCTCTCCACCCAGATACTCGTAACACAGACTCAGGAAGTTGTAAATCACAAAAGCTGAGAGGAAAAAAAAACACAACAACAAAGAAAGTGGGTGAGCTTGTTATTACCACCAAGCAGGCTTGAACAGCTGATTGTTCTGACTGACAGTAAACATGAAACAGACAGTGTTGCCTTTTTACAATGACACAGTAATAAACACATTTACTCTGGAAAAGAAGCTGCAAACAGTTTATAGAGAGAGACCGCGAGAGAGAGAGAGAGAGAGAGAGAGTTTATACTGAGAGAGAGAGAGAGGGAGAAGAAGAAGAAAGATAGAGATAGATAGAGAGAGAGAGAGAGAGAGAGAGAAAGGTTGCTCTGAGCTGCTGCACTGAGAGAATGATGACTAGGAGAAACTCACCTCCTTCGTGTTTCATTTATGGCAAGCTTACACACTCACAAACAGTGACAGGAGAGTGAGTATGTGTGTCACTAAGGCAGGAGGTAAGATAAGGTGATGGGTGGCAGGTGTTTTTCACTGAGATCTACAAATGTCTTCATTTAAAGTCAGTTAAACTTCTTCTTCTGACAACATTTTATTTTTGGGCACACATTGTGGTTGAAGCCAATCTCATCGGTACCTGGGGCAGGGTTCCACCCTGGACAGTTCTTTCTACACTACATTAAATGCGCTCCTTTAAAAACACAGATGCTCTGAAAGATGTAGGAGACACATGAGATGTGACAGTGTGAGAGGCTCGGGTCTGAGTGGAGAGTTCACTCCTCTCTGTCTCTGCTGTTTACCACAGCTCTTCCTTTCCACTCCCTGAGGATCACCCATCAGAACTGCACGGTTGCCAGGGTGATACAGTAGGACTACATACAATGAGAATGAGAAACTTTGCAGCGAGTCGGGTTGGGAGAATCTCATTATCTGATGCAGACTTTGGAGTGGACCAGGCAGATTTAAGAGCACTGTTGCCATGCAACAGGTCGGTCATCTGTGCTGAGGAGAAGATTCGGGCAGGGCTCTGAGGCACCACAGAGGTAAACAGGAGAAGAAAGAGGACGAGAAGGAGAAGCGGACATGGGGCCAGGAGGAGAAGTAAAGGGAGGTAGACGATGTACAGGAAAGTTCATCTGGTTGAGGGAGTGAGACAACGAACAATAACAGGGAGGACACTTGCTGCCAACAGCAGAACCATAGATAGAACGTCCTCCCACTCCACATCAGAACATGTGTTACATCATTGTCCATTAGGTGTCACAGTGGGCCGTCTATTTCTATTCCTAACACAACTGACTAATTCCCAGGAGATGGAGGAGTGTTTTGACCACCTTCTGTTCTGAGGTTCAAGTCATAGGTATCATTAGTTGTAACTGTACCAATGGCCCTTAAAACTTCATTCACTCTCACACCAAGAGGGAAAGACTGAGCCAAGTTTAGCTGAATCCTATAAAAATCCCAATTCAGAACTAATGTGTACTAACTCCCTCTACCTTCATAAGGATGAAATGATGGACAATGATTTGCTGAAAGAAAACTAAGAGTTCTTGCTAACAAAACTGCACTGCCCAGCACTGCTCTATGATTGTACCCAATGTTTAGCTGCACAGCAAGTTGTTGTTCCCCTAATTCACTGCAGGCTGCCTGTTCAAACAACAGTCAGCAGTTTGGTTCCTTGGAGGCTTGTGTTATTGACTGAATGTCCACAGTGGGTCGAGGGGGACTTCCAAAAAGAAGGATCCTTACCCTCATAACAATCCCTGATGGTGTCAAAGTAAACGTAGTACTGGTCGTTAGTGAAGAAGAGGAGACTGAGCCAGGAGTCAAAGGCATAGATAGGAACGAAGAAGAGGATCCTCACAATGTGACGCTGCTCCCGGGGTGAGCTGTAAAAGCGTAGGTGCATGTAGATCTGCAACGAAACACAATGACAAGATCAGTTCCATGCTATACCATGCTTTCTGGACTATAAACTGCACCAGTGTATTTAGTAACATCTATCTAAAATATATAGTGAAGAAGAAAAAAAATATTATTAATAATAATATTTAATTTTGAAACGTTTAAGATTTTACACTGCAGTTTGGCTTTTTTTCTTTTTGTTCACATTTTATTTGAGTTCTTCAAGGACGTTTTTATGCTAAAGTAATTTGTTGGTGTGCTGTAGAAATGGTCAATTGTCATTAATGTAAACAGTGCCCTTGTGAGGTCATAGATGATGATTTTATCCTTGATATACATATAAGTCACTTCAAGATATAAGTCGCAGGACCAGCAAAACAGCTAAAAGAATAAATGCAACTTATGATCAGGACAATACAGTACACAACGCTATTAGAGGAATTAGAGATTGTTCTTTGAAATATATTTAATTTGTTTCATAAAGAACAGGCTCTAGAACTACATGTTTTCATGCTCTGTCACACAAACACCTGATGTGTTAGGTTGCCATGCAACCCTTGCTCTTCTTTGTGCCTGAACAGTAGTGTGTGTTTTTACCTGTGCTCCTATCCCTCAGTGTGCACGGTATGAGTGTGTGTGTTACCTGGTGACACGTGAGGACGAGAGCGATCCATACAAAAAAGCCAGAGATCGCCTGTGCTGCGGGAGTCATGAGGAAGATGGGCTCCGTGTTCAGCCGTGGGGCCTCTGGGAGCCATGAAATGTTAGGCCCCGTTGGAGCTGCCGTGGGTGGGAGTGCGGGGGCTGCAGCGGGGGGAGAATCTTCTCCCAGCCTCTCTGAGAGCGGCACGTCTCGCCTCCACAGCCTCAACATCTGGAAGTGACACAGAGGCTATCCATTGGAGAAACAACAGGCACTAAGAAACTGTATATGTTTATGTGCAAGCACACTGTCACCGCCGAAAGTCAAACAATAACAATGAAGTGAATCAATTGACTGACACCTACAATCTTTAACCTGAAACACAGATCACACCCTGTCTTATCTCTGCTGCCAGATTTCTCTAAAGACAGGAAGTCGAACAGATCATCAAGTTCACTGAGAGTCAACATTTCATCACAAGTCAAGAATTTGTCTGTGAGTGTGTTTGTGTGTGTGAGACATTATTAAAGAATTAAATATTTAAGTTGTGTTTGTTATACTGCATAACTTTCAGTTGTGTAGCCTAATAACTATACACATTTTAGACAGGCATTTATAATCATTTATATTGGTTCTGTCTGTGCCTTATTCAAACTGTATGTATTTTTCTGCAGTTGTACACTGCTTGTACTCGTTTATGTGCCTGAATAAAATACTACTACTGAAGTAACAGTGCCGCAATCAAAGCCAACAGCCAAAGGATTTCCAAGGCTCCATACTGTGGACATAATTTAGTCTACACGGAATGTATCTTTGTGGGGGACAGTGTTCTTTGTGTTCTATGCTGCTCTATTTCCTCTCAAAACATAGGCAAAAACTCATTGGCTACAGACCTATGGTTTCGTCCAATGAGGCCAGATGTTAATTTATGAACATCTTGTGTCAAAGACTGTGCTGCTCTAAATGTCATATTGTCTGTAAAAAATTAACAGTGTTTATAGTCAAAACACATTATTAGTCTTTTAAAATAAACACAACAGTATCACATAAGCCACTGTCCTTCCACAGCTCCTTCATCCTGAAGATTAGGACGGGACCTGAAGTGGCTGCAGGACAGGTTATATAAGCAGCGTGTGAATACAGACGACTCTCATGTCCTCAGGCTGTGTTTGTTCTTGTAAAATGACAACATTTGCCACGTTGGATAGGGTTTTGTAGGGAGACAGCTGTGGACCTTGCAAATGAGAACATATACGATGATAAAAAGAATAACCGTTAATCAAGGTTTTGCATAAAATGCATCAAAAATGCTTGAAATAGGAAAAATAGGAACAAAATGACATTTATTTTGTCTACTAGTCTGAAGGGCAGATAGAACAAAGAACAAATAGTGTGTTCAAGGACAGGGTGACATGTAAAGATAACACCCACACAACCAAACACAAACTGAGATTATGCAAGTTAATTAAATCTGTTGGTTTAAATAAATACAAATTTTACTTTTATTCTTCAGTAGAGCTAAATGGAGTAATTCAAAAGGTATACTTTATTTTCTACTTCTGGTATTGTTACTCAACTCTGCAACTCATCTACACCAATGACAATACTACAATAAAAATAATTAAGTTAAATGAAGTCAAGTTTAGGATTAAGCATGAACTAGTTATGGTAAATGTTAATTCAACAAATAATGAGGAACAAACAACAGTATAACTGTGTGTTTGCATTGTCACTTGTATTGATTTGCCAGGCATCAGCATAACCATGTGTCAACAAAAAGATGTGTGGGCATCAGCACACACACAAACACACATACACACAATGGCACGACAGTGCAAGGATGATGTGATGAAGAGAAAGGACATCTGTGTGTTTCATTTGAAAGGCAAAAAAGGTCAAACCTCACTCTGGAATAAATTTGGGATGTGCGCACGTCACACAAACAATGTGTTTATGTGTACTGAGGGGGTCTGTAACAAATCACAGCAACAGATGGGATGGACTGATGGTGGCAGACTGAGAGTGTGGGAGTGTTTCATTTCCCCCCACTAATGAATAGGATGCTCAGACACTTATTACAGCTTCAGTTAGCAAAACACTGACCTATGTACATCGCGACAATTTTAAAATCTTAAATACAACTTTAGGTAGTAACTTAAGTTAAAAGAAAGGCATTTCTTCTCATTCAATGTGTAAAATTAAATGAAAAAAAAAATAAACAAAAACAAAATGGCAGCTTAGACAAACTTACCGCCACTGCTAAAACGGCAGCAACGGAAACAATTACGAGCCTTTAATTGGGCTTTAAATACTTAGACTTCAAAAGTAGTGTTAAAGAACATAAAAACGGACCTTAAAGTATTAACTCACCTTGTGTGTGGGTTAATGCTGAATTCCTCGTAAAAAGGACGTCAGACCACAAAATAAACTTAAAACGGTCCTAATTCCAGTTCAAAGCCGCACCGTTGCTGCCCGGACATCCATGTTGTTACTGCCGTCCACCGTCAAATCTCTGCGTCTCCACTGACAAAACAGCGTTTAAAAGAAGCAGCTAAAGTTAGTGTCTCATTCTAAACAGCAACTATAATAACTTTTTAGTTACCGGAATGTCCGTTTACATTTTTTAAACTAGTGTTAAATCAGTTAAAACAAAGTCTGTCACTGCGCTTTCCTGTTATTAACGACAGCTCCTCCACTCCGCTATGACTTCTCACCAACACGAATCCCAAACGGATTAACTGCTCATCATACTGACCCCACCTTCTCTGAGCCACCACGGCCAATCACACACACGGCAGCAGAATCAGGGGCGGGACCTTAGTGAGCATGCGTAGAAGGGTTTTTTATGGCCGGATTTTTCACCTGCCAGGGTCAACAACCTTTAAGTTAAATACAGGGCCTACTTTTTGTTAGGGCCAGATTTGGCTAATTAATTTGTAAATTTACTTTTACTGAAATATCTTTAATTGTACCAAATCTGTTAAAGCGCCAATCATACCTTTAATGTTTCATTTAAAATTAAAAGAATAAAGAGGTTATGTTATAACAACAGAGTTTTAAGACACCAAAATCGGCATTGTATATCTTTTTATTGATTCATAAAATATACACAAATATCATAGTTATAAAGTCAAAGCATGATAAAGAAATGTACAGGACATTTGTCAGCTCTTTACCATTGATGATATCCATCCATCCTGGGAACTCTGGTTCAAAACTGTCCAAAAATATTAACACATACCTCTAAGTCATTGCCTGCCACTGCAGCTGCAGTCGTTACTAACACTCACGGCAGACTCTCAAGGTTGTTTGTTTCCACTCTTCGTCCCCAGAGCTCTCAGGAGGTAAAGAGTAGTCTTCTATTCAGCAGCAGCAGTAGCAGCAGCAACCATATCTTTAAACAATCTGTCATATTCTGGCAGAAATATCTACATATTTGTACATGTTTTAACCAAAAAAAAACTGCAAACCTGAAGAACAAATATAACACCAACACTGAGAACGTTCTCCAATCGTCTGATCCTTGGAGTTAGGAACTTTCCTGTATCGTACAAGCCACATGTCTATTTCTTTACCTCCTTTTTCTTCTATTTTCCTAATAGATGTTAAAGGTTAAGTATGCCAGAATTTTTGGTTGCTGTAAAAAAAATACAAATCACATAGTTCTCGACCGCTGCAGGTGGTACTATAAACCTTAAATCAAGTGTGCTGGTCATTTTTTACATTTATATAAATCTAATCTTGAAATTTAGCAGATAACTGTTTTAACAAGAACCAACAACACCTCCAGCTACACACGATCCTATTTCATTTCCCCCCCCAATACATTAACCATAATTATTCACATTCACATCCACATTGTACCCTCAAGTAAACTTTAAATTAATTTAATGGACCCAAGAAAAGGTAATTTGGAGATATAACTAAGAAAAGTTAGTCTCTAAGAAATGATGCTTCAAGTCAGTTTTGCTTTTTTTAATGGCAGCTAGCAGCCAGTTGTATTACTGCTAGAAAATATTTACAGCCAGAGTCGGTTCCACTGCTACACTGAGTGGCAGTAGAGAGACTGCAAATCGGTTTGTTTTTTTTTCTTAATGGTTATCTCAATGGTAAGCTTTTATGTATTCTTCGGCTATCTTTAAACCATCTTTTAGATAGTTGTACAGAAATTATGGTATAATTTTAGGTTATTTTATTTTTATTTTATGGTTTGCCTTACATCAAATCACGTTTTAGCTCCTTTTGAACTATTTTTGTTTAAATTTACCTGCAGTTATTTTATCATCATAAAGAGACAGAGAGCTTATGGTGTCCATTCAAAACGACAATGACCATAATATTTTTAATGTTTTATGTATTTTTAGTTAGGTTAGGAGAATTTCTGTCTCTCTTTAAGACTTACATCCTATTCCTCTCATCCTCTTTCTCCCTATAGCAAAGCTAAGGGCAAAACAAATATCTAAGACAATAACACGCACACAGATAGACAGACAAACACTGACATTTACTGACAGAAAGCAGCCTGGTTTCACAAATGCAGTCTCTCTCAGTCTCGCCTTTTCTGGCTCCATGTCCAAGCAAATTATGTTATCTCATCTATAAGCCTAAATATTGTCATCCTCATCATCATACTTGTATATATATATATCTTTGTTCATGATCACTACTAGCAGCAGATGTAGCTGTCAAACATTAGCAGGTTGATGATTGTTATATTTTTTTTAATTTAAACACCAGTGTAAACCACAGAGTTACTGAAATTCAATCAATTTTGTGCACATTTGTTTTTTTTTAGCTGAGTTGATGACCAGGTCAACCACTCTGGCTCTGCACCTGAAAAAGCAGCATCGGGCCAAACATCTGTTCCTCTGAGTGTTTTGTCCTCATCTTAATGTTTTATATTTCTACGTTGAGCCACTCACACAGTACTGACAGCAACATGGATGTCCCTGTCCCTGACCTTTAAGACCTCAACAGTCCTTTACATCCTGTGCCTTCACTCATTCATGTTGGATTCATCCATTTGAAGTGTCGGGGTATTGACACTCTGCAGCTGCTGGAATATAAGAGTAAAAACAGAAGAGCAAAATATATTAGCATTAGGAGGTATTGATTATAAAATATATATATCTAACTAGTTCTTCTGGTAGCTACTAGTACTAGTTCTTATAGATTTTACCTGAACCTTTCTCTCATGGAATCTTACACTTTCTATTGTCTGGCCTTTAACAAAACACCCTAAATGGAAATGTGTGGATTTTGTTTGTTTAGAATAGGACAGATTTGTTGTTTTCCACTCCAATAGTGCACCTCAAATATATACTACAGAAAGATACACCCCCTCCCCATATCATGTGAACTCCAATGAAATTCCAGACTTTTAATGGACCTTCGGCCCCAGGCTGTCAGATTCTGTGTGTAAACGTTGCATGTCCGTACCTGCTGCTGACTTGCACTTCAGCCAGGACGACCTCACTTTGCCAGATGTTCAAACGGTACGCTGACCTGCAGAAGAACAGAGAAACGAGAAGCTTGAAGCAGTACAAAGACAGACACCTGAGGAAGAAGGACAGAGGAGAAGACTTTCTTCTGACATTTTAGCTCTGTGTGGTTTTGAGGTCAGAATGTGATTGATGATTGGCTTCACAAACACTATCTCCTCAAAAAAAAGGAGTTACTGTACTCGTCCTACTAAGAGTAACTGAAGTTGCACCGCACAGAACAAATTACCTTTTTATGAATTTTAAGTAGACAGTATGACTTTAGACTTATAGTTCTGCAGCAACTGAACAAGATTGTTTTAAAAATGTCCTACCATTTTTTAAAATTTAATATAAAGAGTTTAGAATTTTCTTTAGAACATGAACAACAACAAAAAAAAAACAGAAAGAAAATATTCATTCAGTTCAAAACTAGAGAATTAACCTCCTGTTTGTTTTTGGACTGTAGGAGTTAATTACCTGTGATGCTGTGATACGAGATTGGTCCAGGCGTGCATTGAGCTCGGAGGAGGAGACATTGGCTGGGGCTCCACGATGAAGCCTCATGGCCACCTTCCTTTCTCTCTCTGCGCGCTCCGCCCTTCCAGCCTGAGGTGAACGGTTTGCTGCAAACACAAATTTGGACTCAGCTATTTAGGCTAGCCTTAGCTGTTTACCTAGATTGCTACCTTTAAATGTTGCCCTCATTATTTGTTACTTGTTTATTTGTAACTATTTTCTATACAGTATATCTAAGTTATATGATGATGATATACTGACCTGCCTGCTGCCCCCCTCGTGTGGCTGGGTTTGAAGGAGCAGCAGCATCAGCTTCATTTCTGACCCTGTTGGCTGCTGAAGGGTTTGGTCCAGGCGGCAGACCTCGACCTCCAGCACCTCTCTGGCCTCCACCTCCTCGTTCCTCGCCGTCTTTGCCTTCCCTTCTCTCTCTGTCGCAATCCTCTGTTGTTCTGCTGGCTCCCTGTGTCAGTGTGAAGAACAAGGAAGGAGAGGAATATTGTCAAAAAGACTATTTTTTTTCAATTTCAGTGTTTGACCTACTATGCCAAAGGAGGTCACTTACAAACTTTAGCATGTTCCAGTCAAAGACGTAGTCGTAGGAAAAGCCCTGTCTGTGGAAAAGGTTTCTGAAGAGCTGCCTCAGGAAGGAGTAGTCAGGCTTGTCGTCAAATCGCAGCGAGCGACACAAATTCAGGTAAGTGGAGAACTCAGCTGGAGAACACAAGACCATAAGAGACTCAAGGCTTTGAAACATAGAAGTTTCCCACATCATTTTTGTGACGTGCACTCACAGGGGTAACCTTTGCAGAGCACCTCGATGGGTGTGGACATTTTCTTCTCACTGATGCGCTCATATTTCTGCCTCTTGGTGGCAGCCTTCAGGCCCTGCCAGGGCAGAGAACCCAGGTTGAAGTACATGAGAACATAGCCTAAAGACTCCAAATCATCTCTCCTCGACTGCTCTGTGAATAGAACAGAAGGAAAAAAAATGAAAAACAAGAGAAGAATAAATAGATTCTCACTCATGAAGAATTCCAGGCACTGTACCAATTCCCAGATGAGTGTTGATGGAGGCATATCGGGCCGTTCCAGTGAGGTTCTTATTCTCACGGTAAGGGATGTGCTGGTGTGTTCGGGCGTCACGGTATTTCTTGGCCAGACCAAAGTCGATAATGTAGACCAAGTTGCCCTTTTTGCCAAGTCCCATCAGGAAATTATCGGGCTTCACATCTCTGTGGATAAAGTTCTTGGAGTGGATGTACTCGATCCTGCTGATCTGCAGCGGGTAAAGGAAAATGATCCATATAATTTGCTGGGTTAAATAAACAATTCAAGTGTTTGTTATTAGAGTTAGTGCAAACAACAATGTTTTCTGTGACAGATATTATAGAAAAAACCTATTTGTAAAAGATAGTTGGAAAGAAATTAAAAGGAAAACACTTGTTTTGTTACAGTATGCAGGATACAAATACTCCCACTGTAAAGACACCTGAGGAGGATGTGTTCAGAATTAGGTCACCATGTTGATCTTAAAGCCACAGATGAGCGTAAATGTGACAATAAAAATATATGATTTATTTAAAGGCAATAAAAAGATTGAAAGAGATCTGAGATGGAAGTCAATCTCAAGTTTCAAACCCATTCAAATGTGATCTAAAAATAGAGCCATACTGCTACTACATGTATATGACAGGCAGCCTGATATTGACTCCAGCAGCAATGATACTATTTATTGTCTTCACCTGATTTATTTTCATTGTGATTTTTTTCCCAGCTGTGTTGAATCTACGGTGGACTTAGTAGTAGTCAGTACTGCAGGACTGTGGGGACTGAAGGTCGAGGATCAGTCAGAAAGACTGGTTACTGATAAGGGAGTGTTTACGGTGAGTGTTTACAGTAAAGTATGCAGCCAGTCAGTCAGTCAGTCACTAAGTCATCCTCACCATCTGGTCAGCCAGCAGCAGCACCGTCTTCAGACTGAACTTTCTGGAGCAGAAGTTGAACAGATCCTCCAGACTGGGGCCTAGCAGCTCCATCACCATCACGTTGTAGTCTCCTTCAGCTCCACACCACTTTATAGATGGAATGCCCACTGTTGGGAGAAAAGGGGAGCAGGAGTCGGCCATTTATGTTTTCTACTGAATGTGAAGCATGTAGCCCCGTGTCTTTTAGCGTAATTAACCCACAGTATACTTTAAACAACTACAACTATTTATTTTTTGATTACTAAACCAATATACTAACCTCCACCCTGCATCATCTTGTAGAACTTGCTCTCGATGTGGAGCTGTGGGTGTTTGGTTTTCACACATTCGAGTTTGATGGCCACTTCCTCTCCTGTGGCAATGTTAGAGCCTGGAGTAGAAAGGCAGAGGTGAACATTCACATCAGCAGAGGAATTCCTAAAAATAAAAAATCTGAATCCTACACATAAATGATTCACTCTAACTAATAGTAGGACTTGTGGATCTGAATTCTGAAGTCCAGCCCCAAACAATTACAGAGCTGCCTTAGTATTGCCTCCATGATTTTACTAATGTCTGTTTCTATACACAGTCTGTAATTAAAAATATCACTTGTTCACCGTTTTCAGTTGGAAATTGTCAAACTAGCTTTGGAGATTTGGATTTGGATTTCAGTTCACACATGATAAAAGCTGCCAGACATTAGGTGATGACCCCTAGATTCAAGCCACAAAAAACAAGACTTTACTGTACAACTAAAAGCCTTTCAAGGTACTCAGCTGTTTTAGGGGCCAGTTCCTGGTCCCAAACCACAGAGGACTGTCTGCTATGGCCCTGAATTGTGGCAGTTTATGAGCAGGACATTATAAGAACTCACCCAGATAAATATCTCCAAAGGATCCACTACCAATCTTCCGCCCAAGACGATACTTGTTTCCTACCCTCAACTCCATGGCTTTTTGGTTCTTCAGCTCACTGCAGAGGTAAACGCACACACGCACACACACATACACACACAGTACACAAGAAGAGAGAGAGTTGTCATCAATCAGTGGTGATCAATAGAAAAAGGACACAGTGGCGCAAAGCTGCAGACTTTAGTCTCTGAGCTGCTGTATCACTGAGGAAGATGAAAGGGGAAAAAATATAATCAAAACAAAGACACAGGAGGAAAACTATGGAATAAAACCGTTTACACACAAACCAAAACAGTGATGCAGTGAGTCCTTTACACAAAAAGGGTGTTGTTGCTTTTTTTAGCCATAAAGTGACTAAAAATGTAAATTTAGAATTTAAAAAAAGATAAATAAATTGTGACTTTAACAACTACCCTAAACCAGTAAAACTCTAAATAAAAGTAGTGCAGAAATATTTAGTGGGTCTGAAACACAGCAAAATAATAGGAGACATTTGAAGATATTTGTCATAACCAAAATGTAAGGAAATGTTTTAACGTTCAAATTTACTTGCAATGGTAGACAAAAATAACCAACAGCTCAAAAAAAAAGTCAAAAGATAGCTGCACAAACCTGAAACCTAGCTAAAAGTTAGCCAAAAGTAGCTGCACAGTAGCCAGGAGACTTAAAATAGTTAGTTGAGGAAACATCATATTAAGTTAGCCAAAAATAGGTTAAATCCTGAAGCAGTATAAAGTTAGCCAAAGCAGACCTTAAAGTTAGTAAAAAACAAATAACAAATAAATTTGCTAATAAATAACATGAGATACAAAAGCTAAAAGGGTAGATGAGTTTTAAGAATTGCTGAATGTTAGCCACAAATAGGTTAACTATTGTCCAGAACTACAAGTTGGGCAAATAAAAAACTCTGAATAATTATTCCTTAAATTATTAAACATTTGTCAAGACATTAGCAAAAACGTGTGTCTGGTTGCTTAAAGTTAAAGGTACAAACATAATCCATTTAGTCTGAGTTTCTGACCCGAGTCTGCTGTCAAAATACTAATGAGTCATGTTTTCCTCTGCCAGGCCTTGAACCTGTGTCCTCTGAAATGCAGGATGTCTAACAGGTTCATTTGTTTATTTTTGGGCTGCACTCTAGATTTACACAACCACATATGCAGCCCAGTGCTGGGAAAACAAGGCCATTGCTGCTGCTGTTGCTGCTGCACAGCACCACAAAAGGCATGATGTGATGTTTTTCATCCACCCTCTGCCCTCACATCACTGTGGTCCTAACTACACCTCCAGAACCGCACCCTCTGTCCTGGAGCTTCAGAATGCACACAGTCTCCAGCTCATTCATCCTACGCCGTGACCACGCGCGCGCGCGCGCAAACACACACACACGCACCTCCTCACCGGGTCGTCTAAGGCTCCTTGCTCCAGCGGGCTGTGTCTCACTCAGGACCCTGGACAGCGAAGCTCGGCCGCGGCTCCGGACGGTTCATGATCCCGGTCACGTGTCACCCAGAAAAACACTCCACAGAAGGAGAAAATAACAAAAGAGAGGAAAAATAATGGGAAAAGGAGTCTCTTCCTTCACCTCCTCTTCTCCTCCCAAAATAAGACAGAATAATGCGCCACGCGTTCTTTTCTGACGCCGAATTAGCTGGTATTCGATTAAAATAGTCAAATTAAAGCCTGACGGCACTAATGTTCTCTCTCTCTCTGTGTGGGAGACACACGCCCTCACCCGTTTCTCCCTCTCTCACTTTACACCATTGACAGAATCGATGATGTCATGCTCAGACATGCAGAGATGCCCGGATTGTCTTAAAGCTGCAGCTCCACTGTGTGTGCGCGTGTTTGTGCGTAGACGGAAAGAGTACACACACCATTTTCAGAAATGTTGCTGATTTTTCACAAGTAAAGTTACAAATTGGTCATTCATTTCCGGTGGTTTTCAAACAGGGGTACATGCCCTGCGGGGGTACCTGAAGGCACTCCAATGGTTGGTATTTTACAAAAACATATTTTGAAAATATCATTAATTTAAGAATTATTTATAAAGGTTTTGTTCTTGTATCTTTATCAACGGTATGCTGCAGTATCCAACAACAGCAGCCATTTTCATAGGCACGGCGATTATATGATTATGGATCCCGGAGCTATAGCGTCGATTCGCCCTTGCCTTAGTCTTGCCTTAGAAGGTTTGGGTCGAAGAACTGCGTGCTCTCCATATAGGGATCCCACAGTGGAGGTTAAAGGTTGAAAACTCCCGCGCTTGCGTCTCCGCTTGAACGCAGCTCCGCCTCTCTGTTGCCTTTACACCACTAACCTTTCCCAACGCCACACATGAACAACAATTGCGGAAACCCTGCGGCTCCAAAACGTGTTGAAGAAAGTAATTCGGTTAGTTGGAATGCTAAAGTTAGCCATTTCCGTCTTTCCCCTCTTCTCTTTCGAGTTTTACAGTTTGCAACTTTTGCGCATGCGCTGTGGAGACGAAACTGCAGATGCAGAATATACTTTTTATTAAGCCAAAAGTGACCAAAATGTAAAACAAACAGAAACTGGTTAAATGACAGAACACCAAGTCATAGACGCCAATTAGCTAAAAGATTATTTCAAATGAGTATAGAAATAGAGAGTAAAAATAAATCAGAAAAAAATAGTAGTACAAATATAGTTGAACGTGAAATTTTTTCTCTTGGTAAAGTCTGAAGAAAACATAACAAAGGGTTTCTAAAGGTTAATGGAGAATTAAGAAGCTTACAATACGTGAAATGGCCTTGAAAATGTTTTTAAATTTACTTAAGGTTAGCCAAAAATGTTAATTATACGTACAAAATAACTGAGGTTTAGGTGAATAATTAGAATCTTAAAAGGCCTGTAATTTATAATAAAAGATGCAATAAATGAATTTACAGCTTTAACAACAATAATTCAAAAAGTTAATTGTTGCCCTGAAATTGTACACTAGCAAAACAAAAAAGATTGACCTATCGCCAATAATACATACAGACACTAATATTGCTGCAATATCTGTGTCTATGTATTAGTGGCAATAGGTAAATCTTTTTTATCAAAGTTGGGCAACAAATCAGTGAAGTTTAGCCAAAAAAGTAATAATGTACAACTTAGCTAAACAGCTCAACTCAAAATAAAAAAGTCAAAATATGATCTGATTAGAAAATATCTAAATTTGCAAAAAAAATCCCAACCCAAAACATTACCATTTTCACAGAATTTTGCAATTGTTTTTAATAAAATTCAACTGGAGATTAATGATGCTACTTTTTGTTTCAGGGTAAAAACTGCATGTTAGCTTTGAAAGAAAAATAGAAGACAAGACACAAAGTTCAATTCAACCTTTATTATCTTGTTCTTTTCTGCTTTAAATTAATTTCCTCTCCTTTTTTTTGTAACATCTGAAATAAATGATAACATCCTGAACAGGAGTGATAATAAAGACAGACTTAATTTAAATGGATACATTAACAAACAAACAAACAAACAGTAAAAGGTATGTAATGTCTTTTTAACGTGTCTGTAAAACACTGTTCCAGCTCAGCTTGGTGTGGTAGGATTTGGCATCATTAACACAAATGCCGTCAGTTGGTTACATTTGTCTTAAAAACAAACAAAAAAAAATAGCATTATCTTATTGCATTTGACAAGAAAACAAATACAAACAAAAGAGAGAGAAAAAAATGCTGCTAAAAAACAAACAACGCAGACAACTTAAGAGACGTATGCAATAGTGCCGATGTTTTTGAACTTTTTAGCTTTTCACTGCAAATCTGTCAAACGCGCGCGCACACGCACAAACAAACACAAGGGTATACACCAATCTCATGAACCTCATTAACGAGAGAGAGAAAAAAAACACATTCAACATTGTGGCATCGACACAGACACTCATTATCATCATCATCTTCATCACATTCGTTCATACTGTAATGTCCTTTCATGCACACACTCACAGGTAGGGTGAGGGTCACAGGGGTGGAGGTGAGGGTCAGAGGTGTGTGTGTGTGTGTGTGTGTGTGGGGGGGTGGCGAGTACAGCCAGTAAATACGTTGTCATGGATTTAACGTCAGGACAATAAGCATCATAACCAGAACTGATTTTCGTCTGCAGTAAGTAAATATACAAAGTACAAAGAATGCGAAAAAAATCATCATGACAGCGAGGTCAGTGTTTTTCTCAGGAAGGGAAAGAAATTTGACAATTTTCTAATACAAGATTCACTTTTTAACAACAATGGACACGAGTGAGGTAAGGAAAAGGACTGGAAAAAAAATCTTTTACCATCTTCACAATTCTGACTTTTTCTTAATTTAATTTTCCAACTCTCATAAATCTGATCATTTTTGATGTTTCTCAGATTTTTAACAGTTCTTGAAATTCTGATAATATTTCTCATACATTTCCCTCAGAATTTTTACTTTAGTCAGAAAGAAACCAACTTCAGAATTCTGACATTTTTCTTATGGATTTGACCCACCTGCTAGAACTGTGATTTTTCTCCAACATTTAGACTGTTTCCCTGAAGGTGCAACTGAGAAAATGTGTAAAATTCAAACATTTTGTTCATGTTATCATTGTCAATTATTTTAAGACTTGTGAGTATAAGGAATTTTCACCACTGGTCTTAATATCAAAACATTACATTATTTTCCTGCAGACAGAGACTTTCCCCTTTACAATCAAAATTTAACATTGTGTCCCATAATTTTGACCCTTTCTCAGTACTCACATTTTGCACTTATATTTCACTTCAAATTTGCTAATATGATTTTTATCCATATTTGTTTTTCTTATTTAAAGACATCGTTATAGATCGTAATTCGGAGTAAATTTTCTTTTGAAATCAAGAAACAACTTTCATTTTACAAAGCAATATTCTCCCATAATTCTGATGCTTTTGCCTCAGAATTCTGGGGGAAAAAAAGTCAAAAGTAAAAGAAAAAGAAATTCCATGTTATTAATCCTCTTCTGTAAACAAGGATAAAACAATTCTGTTAAACAAAAAGTCGGGTGGAAATTATAAAATGCTGCTGCTGCTGCTATGACGGCCAAGGCCACTGCTGTTGTAACATGTTGTCATCCAGTATAAGGTCTGTACGGTTGTTGTGTTGTAGCTCTGTTCAGGACACATAAATGGGCAGGATTTGTGGATGAAGTGTCAACAACAAACCCAAAGGCAAATATAGTGCAAGTTTGGCTAATGTTGTTTTTTGACTGGATTTTTAAAAATATTTTTAAACCCTGGGTCCCATGTTGATGGTGTCGTTCCATCCAGGTAGAGATGTCAGTACCAACGTTAAACACTCCTTCTCCACATCTCCTAGGCTGATGATCGTCAGTAGTGTGGCGCCGTCCCCATATTTTTTTTGAACAAACTCCAGATCCTTTTCCGCGACTTTCAAGCTTCCAAACGTGAGAACTCAGAAGTACGACTGCTAGGTCTCTACGAGGGCTCAGTTTGCAAGTCTCAATTTTTTTTCGAGAAACGATCATTAAATAGTGATACAAAAGGAAAAGAAGAAAGAAAAACAAAAAAGAAAATACATGTGGCACACTTTAAAACAGCAATAGCTAAACTTGTTGACATGTAGGACTCTGGCTGAGCTTGTCTACAGTGCATGCCTGAGTGACTGGCTCTGTGAATGCAGATGGTGGGGTGTTGGAGTAAAAAGACAGAAGGAGTTGTCCAGTTGTGTCCTAAAGAGTTTAATGGAGTTCACCTCCCTCCCACCCACCCCCCCAGTTTCAAGTTTTACTGTTGTCTTCATTTAAAGTTAAACGGTTTCATATGTATGTTTGTGTGTAGTAATATTGTGTGGTTTTCTGCCAGTGTAGCTTCAATTCACAAACAACTCTAGCAATTTTCAACAAAGAGTACTGTTGGGATCACAGAGTACTGTCAGTGGGCGGGGACAGAAGAGAAAACTTGGTCCGACAAACTCAGAAACCGATGATAATTTGTCACCAAAACATTACCTAAATAACATACTGTACAGTAGAAAACCTCATAACTGTAACTTTGCCCTTTTGTTTAGAAAACATGTTGTGGCACAATGCCATTTGTTATTCTGATTGGATGTTTTTGTCTGGTGACTTTTCTCTCACAACAGAGGGCAACATTATCGTGCAGACAGACTGCATCCAAGCATCCTTCCTTGCTGCCACCACCCAAAGTGAAAAATGTCAGGGGAAAAAAAAAAAAAAAAATCACAAAATCCCACAGGTAAAAAGTTTTTGTATTTGCACCTCTGTAAGATTGTACCACAGCCAATCGCATGCAATGGTCTAGATGAGCAGATTCAGCAGTATTTATGTTGCTTGAGGCAACACTGTTGTCACCTTAGCATCTGTGCAAAACAGCTTGGGCCCTTGGCTTCTAATAGGCCCAGATATTTGAGAGTATTCAACACTAACACTACATTCAGGTCACTGTTCAGATCTTGAAAAATATCAATACTTGTTCTTCAATTGCAACAAATACACTGTACAGAAAAACATCAGCAAGCAAAGTGAGCCAAAGGAATTACTGCCTGTTAACATTCACAAAAACTCCTCATAACTACCTTACAGAACGCCACCGTGGGCATTCAACACAGTCATCGTCAAAAAGCAACCTCAAGTAAATGCTGACCTACATTTTTTTGTGCTGCCAGTTTTCTGTGTGATGCTCCAGACGCTCATAGACAGCTGGAGATCTTGAGTGTCACGGTTCTCTTAGAAAACACAGGCAGTTAAAGGTTTTGGCCATTTTTGTGCTTCTGCTCTGTATTCGAATCAAAGGCATGTATAATAAGGGCAGGTCAGAAAAGTCACTCCTGTTTGCTCATTAAGGTCTGTGTTGTAGCTATGCTGGTAACAGCAAACAATCTATTGACTGGTCGGGGTTCTGCCAAAGGCTTAAGCAGTGCAGCAGAGGGATGACCAGTCTCTGAGATATTGTGGCTTCTGGAGAACTGAAAACATGCAACTTGGATTATTTGCTAATGCATCTGTCCATCTACAAAGAGCATTCAAACATGTCTTCTGATGCATAAAGAGCACCCCTACAGGAGCATGCAATGTCTACTTCAAACAGCTTAATGTCGTCTTAACCTTTGATACTGCGCTTCCATCTTCATGCTCAAATGGATGTTCAAACTTCGGTGAAAAGTGACAGCAGGTGCATGTTGCATAGAACTTCTAATTGTATTCTGTGAATGTTAAAAGGCAATAGCACAAATTTCAGCCAAACATTTAAGTCTTGATTTGCAAAACCTAGAGTATGTTGGCCAATGACAAGGATAAGTAGGAACCATATTGTCTATCTATAGTATGTTGGACCAGATGTTCTCCTTCTTCCCTTATTAACAGTTTTAACAATACCAGCTGATCCCAAACAGCAGCACCATATGTTAAAAACTGCTGGATTACTCCTTTCATTCACACTTACTCTGCAGGTAAACAAACGCAGAGTCAAATTATGTGTACTATATGTGTGGTTGTGAATGTGCATGTGTGTGTGTGTGTGTGTACATGTGTCAGTCGGGCCCTTAGATGGAGTCAGCTCCACCACCCAGCAGGTCTCCTGGTAGCAGCGAAGCGGGGCTGCCCATCTGATGTCGATCCTCCAGAGCTGGAGAACCCCAGAGGCTGCTGCTCGGATAGCCTGCTCCGCTCATCCCACCCATGCCCCCCCACAAAGCCTGCCTTCCAGCCTCTACTCCTCCAGACCCAACCACCCCAGCGCCGTTACTGCTCCACTGAGTGAAGATACCCAGCCCTGGCCCCTGGGTCGTGGTCTGGTCTGCTGAGCTTCCTGTGCCGTCCAGACTCTGCCATCCGGAGCTGCTGGTGGGTCCGGCTCCTCCGTTTCCTACACCTCCAGCTGTGGATCCTCCTTCGACTCCTCCTCCTCCGGTTATTGCTCCACCTCCAGTAGTGCTTCCTCCATTACCGTTGGCACCAACAGCTGAGGCCACTGTAGACCCAGAGCCTGCAGACCCGGCTGTGCTTCCTCCACTTCCTGTTGCTCCTGCCTGGGAATGTGCAATGTAGCGAGCCACGTCCTCCTCACTCACGAACTCTGCCAAGATGGTGGTATTACCCAGAACACACCTGGCAGAAAACAGGATCTTAAGTTTTATTCACACAAACTACAGTATAACAACAAACAGGGGTTAATAAAAAAGGAAATATGTTTGTTCCTTGTCTATCCACATGGAGTTATCCTGCTTTACAGGTTTAAAAAAAAAAAAAAATCAATAATTGAAGCTCCTTCAAAACCCAACACGTCATAAACCTTTAGAGCTTTTAAACTTGGACAAAAGTTCCAACTACATTTCCATGAGAAAGGTAACAAAAAAGCTTTGTCACAACTTACATGTGAAGTGCACTCTGGGCCTTGGCTGCCTCCTGTCTGGAACAATAACGAATCAGAGCTGTGCCCTGGGTCAGGCCAAGGTGAAAGGTCAGCAAGGGGCCATGCTGCATGCAGATGGTCCTCAGTGTAGAACCATCAATCTGCACAGACAAAGATGGACAACAGAAAGGTTAAAGTCCCAGAGAAGCAACATTAGCCAGTGACTTGTTTTCTTTAACAGTGTGCAACCAAACAACCATCTGTACCTGCGGTGTGAGGTTGCTGAGCACCAACCAGCAGCTTTCCCGTGAGCTACCGTCACTCCAGCTCGAGCCTGAGAAGAATTAAAAATTAAGCAACTTAGACTTTTCTACATCTCTGGGTGAGTTTTATATAATATGTACCCCAATCAGCTATAAACCAGAATGACAATAAACTTTTTTTTTTAAAAACTAAATAAATACCAGTGGTGGCAGAGCTCCCGCCCCACCCCCTGCCAGCTAATCGTGGGGCTCCTCCTGACCAAGGGGAAGACGATGGCTGCTTTTGACTGGCTAGTCCTGGAGGTAGGCGGGACAGCTGAGACTGCTGGCTGCTGCCACGGCTGGCTTTCCAGGACTTGTGTCCAATAGGTTCTGGGGGCCAGCTGGTCTTGTAGTCTGTGTATTTTGCTGTGGGTTCAACACAAGACAGGAAGAAGTAATATTAAAAAAAATGTGCCCACTATTGACGACCAGCTGTTACGTGCGGTGTGGTTAATTGTGATTACTTGAGTTATGTGCGTTGTTGAGGGGACTGTCTGAGGCACTGTAGGGCCAGGCACCAGGTGAAGGCAGCAAGGTGTTGAGGGGAGGGGTGGAATCTGCAAAATAGAAGTGGATTCAAGACTATTTACCAAAAAAGATGTTGAGATCAGGCAGCACCTGAGGAGCACCAGAGCACTTGATGTGCAAAGTGGAGAATAAAGAAAGGTAAAAGGAGTACAACATCTAAACTAGCTATTTTACATGAGAAAGTACAGGGATTTGCTACACATACTGTGAGAGAAAACATGTTATGACTATGCTTTTTTTAAGTTAAAAGTGGATTTTAATGGTCTAAAAGGTTTCCTTGTAAAAAGTTAGAATTTAATAGATTAACTTGCTAAAGATTTTTACCTGTATTGTCTTGTAACAACTGGTGCTCACTATCATTCAGACCTGGGGACACTGCATTTCCCATCATGCTCCCGGGGGTCATGTATGGGTCAGATTCAGGGTCGACACGGTCAATTCCCTTCCAGGGAACACCAGGCTGGAACTCTAACAAACATGTTTCAAAATAAAGAAATAAATATCTATCAACACTTCACTTTCTTTGATATCAACAAAAATCATGAAACCATGAACCCCCCTCCTGCCCTCACTAACCAGGCGGCCAGCTTGTTGTGGTGGTCGGCTTGTTAACCATCTTTCCTGGGGTTCGATGCCAGTTGTCACTCAGGCCGTCTCCCACCATCATGTCATAATGAGAGTAGGGCAAACCTCCTGGCATCTTAATAGGGGTGACAGGACCTGAGGGGGTAGACAGCAGGGTGGTAAAAATATGAATTACAACACCCAACAGCAGATGGATTCACAAATGATCTCATTCCATGTTTTC